TTCCCCCTTAGATCCTTCAGGACACGTCTGCAGTGGTCCTTCCTCCCAGAAATGGAAAGTGGTCTTCCCCTTCACATAGCCTTTTTACTTTTTCACCTGAGTTTTAAAGCAACATGCGTGGCGTGGTGCCTTTAAGTGTTATAACATTCTTCGTCAAAATGGCCACTTCAGCTTTTACTGTGGTTCTATCCCTATAAGCATGAGCCTTTGTTCTGAGCTGGAGCCTGGGGAACACGTCCCATAGTGCCCTCTGTTTTCCATCCTCCTCTTTCCTCTGTTTCTTCCCCAGGTTCCTCCTTTCTCCTTCAGAAAACACACACACACTCTCTCTCTCTCTCTAACCCATCAGAAAACATCATTAACTCATACAAACAGATGGGCCAGATGATGGGAGAGATAGGATCGCCAGCCCAGACCAGCAATCACAGCTGACTCACTGACTCAACTGAATCACAGTCTAAACAAATAGTGATATAAGATTGGTGCACACCAGAGAATCGCCGTTTGAATTTTATGACCAGGTCAGAAATAAGTATCTTACAGCCTGTTACAGAAAAGCACGTTTAAACAGTCAGAGTCCTAAGTTTTTCTGGACCTTATGTCTGCTCCAAGACAGGCGGCTAAGCAAGCGAGGATTCTTTGGGAGACTGCAAATTCGGGATACCACAACCAGGAGAACAGTTGTTTCATGATTTATGGCCGAAGGTGTGCATTCTACATGCTATTGGTCAGTGATGATAAAGTAGGTATCAGTGCCTCTGAGGATTTCCTGTTGCCCCTTCAAGAGCCACCATTTAGAAGCATCTAATCAGGTATAAAGTGCTGGGGGTGAGAAAACCTTTTCAGGTTGCCACTGCACTTTGGACTTCCTCTTCAGATTTTCTAAACTAGTAAAAATACTATTTCACATCTACCTGCATAATTTTGTCTGTCTGTTCTTTCCCCACTTGAGCACATAAAATATTCCCAGGTAACATGATGACAACTGTTCTGATCGCTCATTTTTCTGTTGGTTCCAAATGACCAGTGAGACTAATTAAGTCCTCAAGGAAACACTCACCTTTACTGTCAATAGGTGGTCATCTTAACTAGTAAGGATAAGTAAATAGGGCCAGTCTCTAATAACCAAGGAGGCAATCCATATTTCCTTTTCAAAACTGGGATGGGGAAAATTTGTGATGGAGGGGACACTGAATATTTGAATACAATGCTTAAATGTGTTTACACATGTTTATATTATCATTATGCCATGTATCCTGAAGTTAATAAATCTAAAGTTTTTGGCAGTGGTTCTCAAAGTGTGGGCTCTCCAGCAGCAGTGGCATCAGTAGCACCTGGGAACTTATTAGAAATGCATATTCTTAGGCCCTACCCCCAGACCTTCTGCAACAGAAACTTTGGGATGGGACTGGCAATCGGTGCATTTTGATGCACAAGTGAGTCTGGTGCAGGGTTTAAGTACCCTGGTTTTAGGATGTTTCCAAGAATGAGCCTTTTTCTTTTTGTCTTTTTAAAACAGTGTGGACCAATTAAATTGTCCCTTTTCTGAAGAGCATGTAATCACACTGAACAATTGTTCATACATTTCTCAAGTATATGTTAATCATATTAGAAATGTTCTCCCCCTTTCATTCAAAAGGGAAACATCTTTTTAACATTTGGGAGCACCTGAACAGGAAGACTCCAATACAAAAACAGCAAGGAAATATATGTGCAAATGGTTCTCACCTATGCTTAGAAAAGATCCACAAGAGTTACCCCTTAACACTACTTAGCTGAGAGAGGAGTAGAAGAGAATGTGGGAGTGAGGTAAAGGCATAAAAAAATACAGAAAAAGGGCATTAAAAAAACATATGAAGCAGCTTAGGTTTCATCATAGATAAAACGCTTGGTGAAGTCCTAAGAGGGGTATCTGAGCCTGTAAGCCAGTGCTTTAAATGTTATTGTTTTCACTTCCTGGACTTCCATCTCCGTGACAGGGTGGGTAGTATTGGGGTAACGTGTGGGAAGCACGTTACCACATCAGTCCTGATTAATCAGCTGACATTTATTGAGTGTTTACTATATTCCCCCCCAGTTGGGTTAAAACGGGAATGCTGGAAACACCGTCTCGGCTTTTTAACAAGCTTTTACTAGTTGAAGAGATGGGAGTCAAACGGAAACACTTGGGCACAATAAAATAACATGTTCAAAAATGAGGCACAACACAGATTGCAAATGCAGGGGGGCTGCAAATGCTGGGGTCACTCTGAGTGTCTAGTGTTTAAGAAGGAAGGCTATAGGGGGCAGGTGGACCTCAAAGGATGCTTACTATCTGTAGTGGATTGTAGAAATGGCCTCAGTTCTTCTTCCCGAACTTCTGCCCCTTGGCAATGCAAGTTTCCAGCTCCTCACATTGGGAGCACTCCTGTAATTCGCCTTGTAACACTGGCAGTGGTGACGTGCCAGTTCTGAGCCTAGGCCTCAAGACACCTTGCATGCTTCTGGCCACTCTCTTGGAACCTGTCCAGCCGCCATGAACAAGCCCAGGTTAAGCCTGTTGAAAGGAAAGAGACCACATCCATTAAGAGATGAGCTGTCTCAGCTGAGGCTATCTGAGACTAGTCAGCGCCCAGCAGCACCATCAGTGAGCCCAGTCAAAATCGCCGCTCCAGGGGCTTCCCTGGTGACGCAGTGGTTGAGAGTCCGCCTGCCGATGCAGGGGACACAGGTTCGTGCCCCAGTCCGGGAAGATCCCATATGCCGCGGAGCGGCTGGTCCCGTGAGCCATGGCTGCTGAGCCTGTGCGTCTGGAGCCTGTGCTCCGCAACGGAAGAGGCCACAGCAGTGAGAGGCCCGCGTACCACAAAGAAAAAAAAAAAAAAAAAAATTTACCGATCCACAGAATCCTGGGCTATGTGAATCAATATTGTCTTAGGCCAACAAATTTTGGACTGGTTTGTCATACAGCAGTAGATAGCTGATACAAGGTCTGAAAGGTGGAGAGGAAGGTAGAAAGCATTCTAGGCTGGAGTTGCAACTCCAGACAGGTTGAGAGTCAGAAAGGTGTGAGGTCAGGTCAAAGAAGAGTGAAGACACCAGTAGGACTGGATGTCTGACCACTTTCTTCCAATAAGTCAGGAGCATGAGCATTTAAGAGAACATATACTGGAAGTCAGACCTGCACTATTACAACTCTTGCAGCGCACCATCAAGCCCTAAGAAATAGGAATGCCCACATGCTGAAACACACAGTGAGCTTCAGTACCCCATCTGTCCAAGATGTACTTTGAAAGAGTAAGGCATTGTTTTCTAGCCAACTATATTATGCCAAGGGGGAAAAAAGAAGAGATCTTTGTGGCCTACAATCTGCTTTTACTTTTTATACAGAGAAGTCTAAAGTTTATGTGACTTACTTTCAAGAAACTGCTAGAGGCAACTTCACAGAATCCCAGAGTAAAGGATATTATGTAGCTAGAGTGCTTTTAAAATCTTAAATTCTCACAACGTGCATCTAGTAGGCCACTGAATAACACACAGCTTCGACTCAATTTTATTAGATCATTGAATTTATTTTTTACCATAAAAAGCACAAGAGAAATAGTTTCCTTTAAATGCTAAAAATGTGTTCTTTCTGTTGAGTGGTACTTGCCGGGACAGAACATCCCTGGGAGATGACGGATTCTTGTTTCAAAAGCAGCTTCTTAAATTTGGCGGGACAGCGGTGGAGGGTTCCGAGGGGGATGGGATGAGTTAGGGTGGGGCGGGTGTGATATTCAGATGGAACAATATTTAACCTACAGCCCCTCATGCCTGGGATCCTTTGTACCAGCAGGCACGGAGGCGTCCTTCGTTTCATTCAGTTATTTTTTTTTTTTAAAAGCGGAGTAGTTGACGAAGTGCCAGAAACTTTATACCAAATGGCCTTATTGAGCCACTATTTTATTCAAGCAATGCTCAGATCAGCAGTACCCCACAGGTCAGAAAATCACGGCGAACGGGGAATTTCCACAGCAGAAAAGGCAAGGGTAATCAAGCCTGAAGCGTCCCACGAGGGGAGCCGTGGAAGAGGCAGCAAACCTGAAGAGCTCCTTGTGTGTGGCGTTAGCAGGGGAGCGAGCGAGATAGAAAGTTGTTCTAATTGCAGCCTTTCTCCTGCGAACGTGTTGCTCCCTTTGGACTCTCCGGTAACCAGTTCACCCAAAACTTTTCTGCCACGAGACCCCGCATCTCCCGCGTGCTCCCTTCCTGCGCCGGCTAACTGGTCCCCGGTCAAAGAAGCGTCACCTCTCAGACCCCGGGAAATCTCCGCAGCCCCCTCAGACTGCAGCCTGGTCGCCGCCCGGCCTCCCAGTGCAGCAATCGGGGCGACGGAGAGGGAGGCGGCGCGCAGGCCAGGGAAGACCCGGGAGGACCGACTCGCGGGCCGGGCTCGGGCATCAGCATGGGGAAGGGAGGCGCGGGCCGAGCTCGCCCCACAGGTAAACAGGCCGGCGAGGCGCAGGGCGCTGCCGCCGCGGCCGCCCAGCGATTTCCAGGCACGCAACTCCGCCTCCAGGGATCTCTCCCTCGCGCGCTCGCCCCGCCGCCCGCTCGCAGCCTCAGCAGCCGCCGCAGCATCACTTCACACAAAGGACTGTTCCCCGCCGAGCAGCACCTCCACGTCCTCCTCCGGTGACGGCAGCCCCGACAGCCGGGCTCGGGCGCGACGGCGGCGCGGGGAGGACCTGTCACTCCCAGCAACCGCGGCGGCGGCTTTTTTTTTTTTTTTTAAAAAAACTTTTTTTTTTTTTTTTTTGCCCTTATACTCCTTGGCCTTTCTGTGGTTCCACCCACCTCTTCTCTCCCTTCCTCCTCCTCCTCCCGTAAACAACTCTCCCACAGCTCCCGCCAATAAATAAATTAGGAGGAGGGTAAGGGGGAGGGGTGCGGGGGGAGGAGGGGAGAGGAAAAGGGAGGCAGCGCGAGAGAGCGAGGCAGAGTCCGAACCGACAGCCAGGAGCCCGCACGCACCTCGCACCATGAGATGGCGACGCGCCCCGCGCCGCTCCGAGAGGACCGGACCCCGGGCCCCGCGCCCCGGCCCTGCCGCCCGCTCGCCGCCGCCGCCGCCGCTGCTGCTGCTGCTGCTGCTGTGGACCGCGGCCCTGGCGCCGGGGGCGGCCGCCGGCGACGAGGCGGCTCCCGCGGGGGCCTCGGTGTGCTACGCGTCCCCGCCCAGCGTGGGCTCGGTGCAGGAGCTGGCTCAGCGCGCCGCGGTGGTGATAGAGGGAAAGGTGCACGCGCCGCGGCGGCAGCAGGGGGCACTCGACAGGAAGGCAGCGGCGGCGGCGGCGGCGGGCGAGGCAGGGGCGTGGGGAGGCGAGCGCCAGCCGTCAGCCGCCGGCCCGGGAGCGCTGCCCGCCGCCAACCGGACCGTGCACCCGTGGCCCACGGGCCCCGCGCGCAGCGCCGCCGAGCCCGGAGACGAGGCGCCGTATCTGGTGAAGGTGCACCAGGTGTGGGCGGTGAAAGCCGGGGGCTTGAAGAAGGACTCACTGCTCACCGTGCGCCTGGGCGCCTGGGGCCACCCCGCGTTCCCCTCCTGCGGGCGGCTCAAGGAGGACAGCAGGTATATCTTCTTCATGGAGCCCGATGCCAACAGCAGCGGCCGTGCGCCTGCCGCCTTCCGAGCATCCTTCCCCCCTCTCGAGACGGGCCGGAACCTCAAGAAGGAAGTCAGCCGGGTGCTGTGCAAGCGGTGCGGTAAGTTCCTCGCCTCGCGGGGCGCGCTCGGGCGGGGCGGGGAGGGCGCACTCCCGGGGCGCGGCGGGCGCCGGGCTTCGACGGCTTCCGGGCGGACGCGGTCTGAGCGGTGGAGTTTCGGGTTTGGAAAAGCCTCTGGGCGATCCTCAGAGGAGGAGGGTTCGCGGATTGGATTCCACGGGCAGCGCCTTCTCCAGTGTCCCGGTTTCGAGGCATTGTCATTGGTGAAAGCCCAAGTTTGGTCCTCGGTTGGGGCCGCCTCAAACTTTTTAATTCCTTGGGGTTTCGTTCGCCAAGTAGAATGGAAATGGGCCGGCTGCTTTCTTGCGCGTGCCTTCTTGAACTCTTTCGTTAGGAGTTGCTGTTAAGGGCAGCCGTGTGGGGCTTTTCCTCTGAAGGAGGAAAGGTGAGTCGGACAGGACTGTAAAGTCTTCCCATCACTTCGAGTCCGGAGTGTAGACTTGGTCAGGGGTTTGTGTCTATGGAGAGTCCAACAAGAAAAGGACAGAGCACTGCGATTGCCCTTGCGATGTGGCAGAGTTTTTGGCGAACTCATTGTCCGAACAGACAGGTGCAGTCTGCACCTTGTGAAAATGTGTATGTGAGAAGTATATAAAGTTGGGTGTTTTCTTTTTGCTGACATCATGTCAAGAATTTTTGTTTTCATAGTATTTTCGTTTGGAGTATGCTTTGGCACGTCAGGGCATCAGAACAGATGAGTGTCATTATGGAGCTTCACATGTAGGCCCTTAAGGAGAATTTCGGAAGATAAGTTTAGCAATCGTGTTTCAAAGACCTTTCCCGATTTTACCACTGCAAAGGGTTCTTCCCAGGTCTCCTTAGTATTATCAGGTCCGAGAAATCAGCTGATAATCTGATTACATTTCTGAAGTAGCATTACGTTTATGCCATTCACAAAGTAATTTCTAGGTTCTAAATATTTGTGTAATTTCCTGATGATCATGTAATCACTAAAACATAGAGGGGTTTCTTCTCAAACCAAAAATTAACATGATTACACATCACAGATTCTAACATGAATAATAGATTTTCCCCTGGTCTTGATGTATCCGTCTGATAGATGGTTGGGTTAATTGAATTTTTACAAAACTCAGCACCATGCCATGCTCAGTCCGCCTGTGATGTACAGTGCGTCAGCTGTTTTCAATTCGTATCAGGTGATGGTTATTTAAATTTCTGATGAGCATTTCTGATGCTTGTAGCCTGCGGTTAATTAATGCCTAACGATTTGGTTTTTTTTTTTTTTTTTTTTTTTTTTTTTTTTTTTTTTTTTTTTTTTTAAACATCTTTATTGGGGTATAATTGCTTTACAATTGTGTGAAACGATTTGGTTTTGATGTCAGGGAAGAGCATTGCTTATCCTCCATTGCCTTATTTTCACAATGCACTTTGTGCGCCAGAGACCTGTTAAGATTGCACCACTCTGTGGCCGGAAGCTGTTCTCAAACAGTGGTGCTGAAGAAAGCTGAGTGATGTTGGGATTCCCCGGGTCTGGCTGATAGATGTCACTATAAAACATGGGAAACTCTGCTGGGAGCTGTCTTATTAGGAAACACAAAAGCTCCTCACCATTGAACTGCATCGTATGTTATTCTGTTAGAGAATCTGAAACAAAACATTTTAAGCCACGCTGTCATCCCATTTTCACGTGTTTTATTGTATGCCGTTCAGGAAGGATTTTGCTTTTACCCACAAATGAGTTGTGGATCATTTACTGCACATGGTGGAAGTTAATATAAAGGGGATGGTAGTTGGCAGTGATGCCTAGGATGGGGGGTGGAGTGTTGTTAGATAAGCCATGGTGTTAGTTACGCCTTCTAACTAGAAGGAGATGTCAGTTTTCAGGGGTAAACTTCTTATAAGGGTCCAGAGGACGCTTGGAAATGGAAAATTCATGTTGTCTGGAGAAATACTATTTTCGTGCTTCTAAGCCGAAAAAGCTTCACTAAAGGTAGTCTTGCCTTTTTGTTTGCCAGTCAAAGGAAATACATAGTTGTAAGTTGTGGCATGCTAAACAAAGCAGGGTTGTTTTTTTAAATGGACTGGAAATCTCCTGCGTGTAATGTAGTAGATTAAGAAATCATGAAGTTACTGCTTCAGGTTTGTGTAATTATTGTGTATGTTTGGTGATTTTAGGGTTACGTACTTTAAATTACGATACCGCGTGAAACTTTAATAGGTTTAGCTAAAGACTAACTGAAATCGTGCTCAGTTTCTCTTGGGTTTTTACGAACATAGTAGTTATTGTGACATTGTAGGCTATAAGTAAATAGTATAAGCTGTTTTATATAAGGAAACTCAGTAAGTCCATACTTGGAATATGGGGTGTAAAAGTGTGTATGTGTGTGAAAACTTGTGAATTCTTCCAGTTGTGTGGTCTGGTTTAACAGTGCCATTCAGAACTTACCAGGCAAAGGAACACAAATTGGACAAAAAAAAAAATGTACAGAGAGAATAGGGACTGATTTGTCGTGGTTGAGCTGCTTCTGTGTGCTTCTGGTCAGGAGATTTCAGGGAGAGTGATGGAGCAGAGGGTTCTTATCTAACCACACGAAGCTGCCCTGGGGGCGTGATGGTTGTTCCTGCCTGAGCCCTGATGCTAGGCTGGAGAGGGGATATAGCCAAGTCATTTTGTGATATCATACCCAGGGCAACAGTTTCCAGCTCTCCTTTGCTCAGCTGCAGTGTTGTTTCCTACAAGTTGCTTCCTAGTGTAGAAACTACACGTGCAACAGATTAGCCTTAGGGTTGAGCTAATGGAAGTCTAACCTGAATTATTTTTTCTCTCCTCCCCGTCCCCTCTCCCCATCTAAGAGAAACTCCTGAGTAGAGTCTGTATAAAAAGAAGCTCTCCTCTGAACAATGGACTTTTGGAAACAAAAACTGTAGTGTATTTTAGGTGACAACACAGAATCTCATAGCTTGTTTGCTTTATGTTTGAGGTTTGTGTGAACTACACTTCCTTTACAGTTAAATTCTTCCCAGTCTTTGCTTTCTCTCTTGCTCACTACACAGGCTAAGACATTTCTAGGTTTTATATTTATTGGAATGGAGAATAATTTGCTGTGCAATTAAATTGCCATTATTCAAACAAATCATTGTTTGATGTACTACACTTCTAGTTTTCAAAGCATTGTGGTTATACTAGGCTGTAACTGATTCCCAAAAAGGAGTAAAAATACTGATGTTGAATAACATCTATAATTGGGCCATGCAAGATTTGTACATCAGTTGTGTTCCTACAAGCCAATCTAAATATTCAGTATATTATATCATATTGGAATGTGTAATAATGCAAACATGTTTGTCAAATATTTATGATCAACGTCTTTCTTTTTCTCATGTCCTCAATAACTATTTAATAAAGTGTGCTGACCTTATGGTGTTATGAAAATGACAGAAATGCTGCAGGGATTTTCCAGCCAACTATTGAAGAGAATTATTCTTAATAAAAGCTGTATTAAGGGTATAGCAATAGGAACAGATACAGCTTGGCTGCTTGTCTTTCATAAATGTGTAAATGTAATTTCCCAAGTGCTTGTGATGGCTCTCTTTAAACTGTATAAATCTTACTGTCAATTCTGTACTGTATTTAGAACACTTCTTTCTGTTGAGTAGAGAAACCATGTATGTATTTATATATATTTATTTTAAAAAATGAAACCAAGATGGGTCATTTGGGAAAACAACTCTTTGGAATAAAAATATTTTAAAAGGTGAATTTAAATATCTGAATCAGAGTGTATTACAGGCGCTAGGGGATCGTTCTCATCAAGTTGTGGGAGATCTATAAATCCTCTGGATCTAGGGAAAGTTTTACCATATGTCTTAATGTATTAGGTAAGACCAGGAAACTTAAACAGCCCTGAGGGTCAAAACAATGGGCTGTGCTTCCGCTGGCCTGTATATTTATAGCAAATGAGAGCAAAAGACGTGATTGGGCAGGTTATTGCCCTTGTCAAATGCAATCTATTCATTGTTCAGGAAATCTCCTTTGCTTCGATGCCCATTTTCTTCCTGTTATTTTTTTCTTAATTATAAACATAACATCTTTTAAAACCTATTTTTAAATTTCAGTGACAAGTGATGAACTGGCCAGGTGTCCAAAGATCTTGAAACTCTCATCTGTCCTCAGTACTTAGCAATACTTAGGTTTTTTGTTTGGTTGTTTTTGATATGCTCAAATGATGTGGAAACATTATGTCTATAGGTAATTCTGATTGAATGGGTATCTTGATTAGCCTTATATAAATGAATGATAATGAAAACAAAGTATATAATGAGAAACAGTGGTAGGGATTCATGTATTATTACAGTCATTGAAAGTATATAATGAAAAAAGTTTGTAAAGAAAACAAAAGGTTAAAAAAATAATTAGGGCTCTTATGGACTCATGCAATTTGTTACCAAAAACAATAGTGTAACAACATGTTTTTGTCAAAGTTTTCGTAAGAAAGTGAGAACGAATTTTTGATGTCCTTACTTTTAAGTAACAGGAATGGCTATTGTAGACAGTTTTCTGTTCAAGTATGAATGCTCTAAATTTGCGCATGCACATTTTACTCTGGGCTGTTATGTTGTCATGAAATTTAAGTTAAAATGAAAGTAACATTATGAAAGCATGTATGACCTAGCCCCTGTCCCAAATTTCAGTCACTTTCTAATACTTGAACAGCTGATTGGTGATACAACCTGTCACATTTTAAAATGTGAAGTTGAATTATTTGCAAATTTACAGAATTCAGACCTAAGTCTTATTAAGTGCTAGTTGAGAGGCTGTATTTCATATTACTGTGTTTTCATATTGTTTAGGGCGGTGATGGGCTTGAGTTAAGCCTGTTTCTGAAGGCTTGTCTCCTGACTCTCCATCTGCAAATGATCCATACAGGTCGAAGAAGATTTTAAAAAAAAAGAAATTTTGGTGAAGTTGAAAGCTTAAAATGGGTTGACGAATCTCCACTTGGCATAGATCTGATTGT